CATACTCCAATGAAAATAGCTGTTACGAAAAGTAAAAAAAAAGAATCAAATAAAATAAATATTAAGATTTTTCCACTCAGTGTGTAAATCTGGCTCTGACACTAGCCAGTGCCTCCCCAGCCATTGACCTCACCGCATGTCGCTGATCTCTACGAGTCTCCGTGTGTGTCTCTATGCATCTCCACGTGTCCCTATGCGCTTACCATATGGTCCATAGTGTTGTGGTTGCGTGGCCACGATGGCACCGCCGTGGCCGTGGCTTCAGTTGCCTCGTTCACGAAGAGGAGGAAGCGGTGGCGGCACCCGCCTGGCAACGGACGATTCCGCCCACTCGCCGAGGTTGAGTTCGCCAGCGCCTCTCGCCGCAGGGATTCAATCAGGCGATCAGATAAGCGACGTTTCGCTTGAAACCGTGCACCAAAGCATCTTCAGCCCCCCACCCATCACCGACCCCCCCCCCTGCAAGGTATCCCCGCGTCACGTGACACCCGGCTTGTTAGACACGTGACTGGAGGGCATCACAGCGAGTACGGATCGGGCTTGAGACCGGAATCTCCTTCGCAGTGACTGCGAATCTAACTCACGTAGCGGACTGATTTTTATTTTATTTTACCAGGTAAGGCCCACTGAGCTATATAGCTCTTTTTTTAGAAGCAACCTGGCCACAAATGGTAACTCAGTGAAGTGGCTTATGTGGAAATGTATAGCAGCCAAATACTCTACACGCACGTTGATTCTAAACGTGGAGGAGAAACCTGTAGGACCCGGAGCAACATCCACACGACCACGAGGAGAGAGACACCGCAGACTCCACATATACAGCAAGCGTCAGCGTCGGGATTGAACCCATGACCTCCTGTATACTAGGCCATGTAGTTAACATCTCACCACGTGGAGAGAGAGACGCAAACTCCAAATATACAGCAGGCGTCAGGGTCGGGATCGAACCCACGCTCCTCCGGCATACCAAGCGAGGTAGTCAACATCTCCTAGCCACACACAAATATACAGCAGGCGTCAGGGTCGGGAGCGAACCCACGGACATCCTGCACACCAGGCGAGGTAGTCAATATCTCCTCGCCACACACAAATATACAGCAGGCGTCAGGGTCGGGAGCGAACCCACGGACATCCTGCACACCAGGCGGGGTAGTCAACATCTCCTCGCCACACACAAATATACATCAGGCGTCAGGGTCGGGATCGAACCCACGGACATCCTGCACACCAGGCGAGGTAGTCAACATCTCCTCGCCACCGAGTTCCGTTCGCCATTGTTCCGGCCCAGTGGACGCCGTGGTGATGATGAGGGAGAGAGAGAGACACCGCAAACTCCAAATATACAGCAGCAGGCGTCAGGGTCGAGATCGAACTCACGACCTCCTGTACACCAGGCGAGGTAGTTAACATCTCTCAGGGACATGATCGAACCCACGACCTCCTGTAGACCTGGGGCGAGGTAGTTAACATCTCTCAGGGACATGATCGAACCCACGACCTCCTGCACACCAGGCGAGGTCGTCAACATCTCCTAGCCACCGAGTTCCATTCGCCGTCGTTCCGGCCCAGTGGGCGCCCTGCTCGTGACGACGCTGCTCGCCTGCAGGGTGGCACTGCCACCTCCGAGCGGAATAATGTCAGAGGTGTGTGTGGGGGCGGGAGGGGAGGGTACAGTGCAGTCGATTGGCTGCAGGCGTGAGGGTGACGGCTGTGGTGGAAAGGAGGGAGCGACCCAGGGTGGGATTCGCCTCACAGGAACACGCGCCTGGGTTCAATTGCCGACTCGGACGCCTCGCTGTGTGGAGTTGGGGTGTTTGACCCCCTGCTCTGCAAAGTGCGAGTGTGAGAGAGTGTGAGCGAGTGTGGAGTTGGAGTGTTCTCTTATGCTCTGCAGAGTGTGAGAGAGTGTGAGTGGGTGTGGAGTTGGAGTGTTAACTCTTGCTCTGCAGAGTGTGAGAGAGTGTGGAGTTGGAGTGTTCTCTTATGTTCTGCAGAGTGTGAGAGAGTGTGAGAGAGTGTGAGTGAGTGTGGAGTTGGAGTGTTCTCTCATGCTCTGCAGAGTGTTAGAGAGTGTGAGTGAGTGTGGAGTTGGAGTGTTCTCTCATGCTCTGCAGAGTGTTAGAGAGTGTGAGTGAGTGTGGAGTTGGAGTGTTCTCTCATGCTCTGCAGAGTGTTAGAGAGTGTGAGTGAGTGTGGAGTTGGAGTGTTCTCTCATGCTCTGCAGAGTGTTAGAGAGTGTGAGTGAGTGTGGAGTTGGAGTGTTCTCTTATGTTCTGCAGAGTGTGAGAGAGTGTGAGTGGGTGTGGAGTTGGAGTGTTAACTCTTGCTCTGCAGAGTGTGAGAGAGTGTGGAGTTGGAGTGTTCTCTTATGTTCTGCAGAGTGTGAGAGAGTGTGAGTGAGTGTGGAGTTGGAGTGTTCTCTCATGCTCTGCAGAGTGTTAGAGAGTGTGAAAGAGTGTGAGTGAGTGTGGAGTTGGAGTGTTCTCTCATGCTCTGCAGAGTGTGAGAGAGTGTGAGTGAGTGTGGAGTTGGAGTGTTCACTCCTGCTCTGCAGAGTGTGAGAGAGTGTGAGTGAGTGTGGAGTTGGTGTGTTCACTCCTGCTCTGCAGAGTGTGAGAGAGTGTGAGAGAGTGTGAGTGAGTGTGGAGTGTTCACTTCTGCTCTGCAGAGTGTGAGAGAGTGTGAGTGAGTGTGGAGTTGGAGTGTTCACTCCTGCTCTGCAGAGTGTGAGAGAGTGTGAGAGAGTGTGAGTGAGTGTGGAGTGTTCACTCCTGCTCTGCAGAGTGTGAGAGAGTGTGAGTGAGTGTGGAGTTGGTGTGTTCACTCCTGCTCTGCAGAGTGTGAGAGAGTGTGAGTGGGTGTGGAGTTGGAGTGTCAACTCTTGCTCTGCAGAGTGTGAGAGAGTGTGAGAGAGTGTGAGTGAGTGTGGAGTGTTCACTCCTGCTCTGCAGAGTGTGAGAGAGTGTGAGTGAGTGTGGAGTTGGAGTGTTCTCTCATGCTCTGCAGAGTGTGAGAGAGTGTGAGTGAGTGTGGAGTTGGAGTGTTCTCTCATGCTCTGCAGAGCGTGAGAGAGTGTGAGTGAGTGTGGAGTTGGTGTGTTCACTCCTGCTCTGCAGAGTGTGAGAGAGTGTGAGTGAGTGTGGAGTTGGAGTGTTCTCCCCTGCTCTGCAGAGCGTGAGAGAGTGTGAGTGAGTGTGGAGTTGGTGTGTTCTCCCCTGCTCTGCAGAGTGTAAGAGAGTGTATGATAGACTGTGAGTGATGAATATCTGAACCAGGCCTGACACACGCAGCCTTAAATGAGTACCGGCCAGGTGTGGGGCTGACCACCCTCCCCCTCGCGTGCCGTGCTGGTCTTCACAGGTGTTTGCTAACCGCACTTGCCCCAAGAGTCTGTAAACAGACTATGTGAGTGATCTTTGTCTTTGTGCGAGTAAGTTAAGTTTGTAATTTCTCGCCTCTTGTTCTGCACGGGTTTCCTCCGGGAACTCCAGTTTCCTCCCATAGCTAAACCCACACACACTGTGGAACTGGTATTGGCTAAACATTCCATTGCTGATCAATGTACCCGCAAAATGATCCAATTGGGATCATACAGAGCAGCAGCAACATCTCCCCCTATACTGCACTGATCTTCATCCACCAGTGGATAGATCATGGTGATGATGCCACTGAGATAGAGGGGAACACGTGGATTAAAGAACGCACACACAGGGTCGAGGAATCATCACATTGATCTTCTTCCAACATTGGATGGACTTTGGCTAATGATGATGATTCACAAACAGTACGCAAACAGTACACACAGTGCACAGAGCAGACACCACAAAGTATGGTGATGACGATTATGATGATGGTGACGATGTTGATGGTGTTAATGGTGGTGATGATGTTAATGTTGGTGTTAATGGTGGTGATGATGTTAATGTTGGTGTTAATGGTGGTGATGATGTTAATGTTGGTGTTAATGGTGGTGATGATGTTAATGTTGGTGTTAATGGTGGTGATGATGTTAATGTTGGTGTTAATGGTGGTGATGATGTTAATGTTGGTGTTAATGGTGGTGATGATGTTAATGTTGGTGTTAATGGTGGTGATGATGTTAATGTTGGTGTTAATGGTGGTGATGATGTTAATGTTGGTGTTAATGGTGGTGATGATGTTAATGTTGGTGGTAATGGTGGTGATGATGTTAATGTTGGTGTTAATGGTGGTGATGATGTTAATGTTGGTGTTAATGGTGGTGATGATGTTAATGTTGGTGTTAATGGTGGTGATGATGTTAATGTTGGTGGTAATGGTGGTGATGATGTTAATGTTGGTGTTAATGGTGGTGATGATGTTAATGTTGGTGTTAATGGTAATGTTGTTGAAGTTGATGGACACGCGGCTGGTGGTGATGAATGCGTTGGAGGCGGTTAGTGGAAATTAGGGGTCACGTGACCCCGTCATCCTCTCACCTTGAAACGTGGAACCCAAAGCGAGGGGAGAGTACAGAGAGAGGGGGATAGAGAGAGGGGGTAGAGAGAGAGGGGGGGGGGGGGTAGAGAGAGGGGGTAGAGAGAGAGAGAGGGGGGTAAGAAGGAGGAGAGCAGAGCGTGGAATCTGTTGTGAAATCTTTCATTTAAAAGAGGGGGGGTGCACATAAAGCAAAGCATTAAAAATAAATCGAAATGATGAACGAAGCAAAGTGCCGACTACACCGAGCACCGTCTTGTTTCCTCTGATCGTAAAAAAAGAGAGAGGGAGGGGAGAGAACGGAGAGAGCGTGGGACGAGTGAGGTCCAAGGGTTTTCACCCCCCCCCCCCCACCGTGCCCCTCCCCCCACCGTGCCCCCCACTCCCCGTGCCCCCTCTTCCCGTGCCCCCCCCCCGTGCACCCATCCTACCGTATCCCCGCCCACCCTCCCCGTGCCCCACCCTCCCCGTGCCCCCCCTCCCCGTGCCCCCCCCCCCCCCCACCGTGCCCCCCCTCCCCGTGTCCCCGCCCCCTCCCCGTGCAGGCCAGCTGGCTGTGGGCACGTGTGAGGTGGTGGCCCTGGACCGGGATGGCTCGGACGTGGCCCGCACCGTGGCGCGCCAGACGGCGCGCTGCGCCTGCAGGAGGGGTCGCATCGCGGGCACCACCAGGGCCCGGCCGGCCTGCGTGGAGGGTGAGACACACCGGGGCCCACCAGCCCCTACAGGGGCCCACCAGCCCCTACAGGGGCCCACCAGCCCCTACAGGGGTCCACTCGCCCCTACAGGGGTCCACCAGCCCCTACAGAGGTCCACTCGCCCCTACAGGGGTCCACCAGCCCCTACAGGGGTCCAATCGCCCCTACAGGGGTCCACCAGCCCCTACAGGGGTCCACTCGCCCCTACAGGGGTCCACCAGCCCCTACAGAGGTCCACTCGCCCCTACAGGGGCCCACCAGCCACTACAGGGGTCCATTCGCCCCTACAGGGGCCCACTCGCCCCTACAGGGGTCCACCAGCCCCTACAGGGGTTCACTCGCCCTCTGTGGGAGGGGCGGGGCGGGGGACACCAAGGGGCGGAGGGAGCGGGGGAGGAGAAGAGCAGGGAGAGGGTTGAGAGCTGTGTGTGTGTGATGCTGTGTGTGTGATGCTGTGTGTGTGTGTTATGCTGTGTGTGTGATGCTGTGTGTGTGATGTTGCGTGTGTGTGTGTGATGCTGAGTGTGTGATGCTGTGTGTGTGTGTGATGCTGTGTGTGTGATGCTGTGTGTGTGTGATGCTGAGTGTGTGATGCTGTGTGTGTGTGATGCTGTGTGTGTGATGCTGTGTGTGTGATGCTGTGTGTGTGATGCTGTGTGTGTGATGCTGTGTGTGTGATGCTGTGTGTGTGTGATGCTGTGTGTGATGTTGCGTGTGTGTGTGTGATGCTGTGTGTGTGTGATGCTGTGTATGTGTGCTGCTGTGTGTGTGTGATGCTGTGTATGTGTGCTGCTGTGTGTGATGCTGTGTGTGATGCTATGTATGTGTGCTGCTGTGTGTGATGCTGTGTGTGTGATGCTGTGTGTGATGCTGTGTGTGTGATGCTGAGTGTGTCATGCTTTGTGTTTGATGCTGTGTGTGATGCTGAGTGTGTGATGCTGTGTGTGTGATGCTGAGTGTGTCATGCTGTGTGTGTGATGCTGTGTGTGTGATGCTATGTGTGATGCTGTGTGTGTGTGATGCTGTGTGTGTGATGCTGTGTGTGTGATGCTGTGTGTGTGATGCTGAGTGTGTCATGCTGTGTGTTTGATGCTGTGTGTGATGCTGAGTGTGTGATGCTGTGTGTGTGATGCTGAGTGTGTGATGCTGTGTGTGTGATGCTGAGTGTGTCATGCTGTGTGTGTGATGCTATGTGTGATGCTATGTGTGATGCTGTGTGTGATGCTATGTATGTGTGCTGCTGTGTGTGATCCTGTGTATGTGTGCTGCTGTGTGTGATGCTGTGTGTAATGCTGTGTGTGTGATGCTGTGTGTGTGATGTTGCGACTGTGATGCTGCGTGTGTGGCGCTGTGTGTGTATCATGCTGAGTGTGTGATGCTGTGTGTGTGTCATGCTGAGTGTGTGATGCTGCGTGTGTGATGCTGCGTGTGTGATGCTGCATGTGTGTGATGCTGCGTGTGTGATGCTGTGTGTGTGATGCTGTGTGTGTGATGCTGCGTGTGTGATGTTTTGTGTGTGATGCTGCGTGTGTGATGCTGTGTGTGTGATGCTGAGTGTGTGATGCTGCTGAGTGTGTGACGCTGTGTGTGTGATGCTGTGTGTGTGATGCTGTGTGTGTGTGATGCTGAGTGTGTGATGCTGTGTGTGTGTGATGCTGTGTGTGTGATGCTGTGTGTGTGATGCTGTGTGTGTGATGCTGTGTGTGTGATGCTGTGTGGGTGTGATGCTGTGTGTGTGTGATGCTGTGTGTGATGTTGCGTGTGTGTGTGTGATGCTGTGTGTGTGTGATGCTGTGTATGTGTGCTGCTGTGTGTGTGTGATGCTGTGTATGTGTGCTGCTGTGTGTGATGCTGTGTGTGATGCTATGTATGTGTGCTGCTGTGTGTGATGCTGTGTGTGTGATGCTGTGTGTGATGCTGTGTGTGTGATGCTGAGTGTGTCATGCTTTGTGTTTGATGCTGTGTGTGATGCTGAGTGTGTGATGCTGTGTGTGTGATGCTGAGTGTGTGATGCTGTGTGTGTGATGCTGAGTGTGTCATGCTGTGTGTGTGATGCTGTGTGTGTGATGCTATGTGTGATGCTGTGTGTGTGTGATGCTGTGTGTGTGATGCTGTGTGTGTGATGCTGTGTGTGTGATGCTGAGTGTGTCATGCTGTGTGTTTGATGCTGTGTGTGATGCTGAGTGTGTGATGCTGTGTGTGTGATGCTGAGTGTGTGATGCTGTGTGTGTGATGCTGAGTGTGTCATGCTGTGTGTGTGATGCTATGTGTGATGCTATGTGTGATGCTGTGTGTGATGCTATGTATGTGTGCTGCTGTGTGTGATCCTGTGTATGTGTGCTGCTGTGTGTGATGCTGTGTGTAATGCTGTGTGTGTGATGCTGTGTGTGTGATGTTGCGACTGTGATGCTGCGTGTGTGGCGCTGTGTGTGTATCATGCTGAGTGTGTGATGCTGTGTGTGTGTCATGCTGAGTGTGTGATGCTGCGTGTGTGATGCTGCGTGTGTGATGCTGCATGTGTGTGATGCTGCGTGTGTGATGCTGTGTGTGTGATGCTGTGTGTGTGATGCTGCGTGTGTGATGTTTTGTGTGTGATGCTGCGTGTGTGATGCTGTGTGTGTGATGCTGAGTGTGTGATGCTGCTGAGTGTGTGACGCTGTGTGTGTGATTCTGTGTGTGTGATTCTGTGTGATGCTGTGTGTGTGATGCTGTGTGTGATGCCGCGTGTGTGATGCCGCGTGTGTGATGCTGCGTGTGTGGTGCCGTGTGAGTGATGCCGTGTGTGTGATCCTGTGTGTGTAATGCTTTGTGTGTGAGAGATGCTGTGCGCGTGTGTGATGCTGAGTGTGTGATGCTGTGTGTGATGCCGCGTGTGTGATGCCGCGTGTCTGATGCCGCGTGTGTGATGCCGTGTGAGTGATGCCGTGTGTGTGTGTGATGCTGTGTGTGTAATGCTACGTGTGTGAGAGATGCTGTGTGTGTGAGTGATGCTGTGTATGTGATGCTGAGTGTGTGATGCTGTATGTGATGCCGCGTGTGTGATGCCGCGTGTGTGATGCTGCGTGTGTGATGCCGTGTGAGTGATGCCGTGTGTGTGTGTGATGCTGTGTGTGTAATGCTACGTGTGTGAGAGATGCTGTGTGCGTGTGTGATGCTGTGTGTGCGATGCTGCGTGTGTGATGCCGCGTGTGTGATGCCGCGTGTGTGATGCGCGTGTGTGATGCTATGTGTGTGAGAGATGCTGTGTGCGTGTGTGATGTCTTGTGTCGACTAAGCCTCCAATGCGTAGCTGGTGCTATGTCGAAACACCTGGCGTGGTGTTGGCCACCCACCCCCTCGTGTGCCGTGCCTGCCTTCACATGTTGCAACTCGCTAACAGCACTTGCCCCAACAGTCTGCTAACGCTACACGGGGTGTCTTTGTCTTTGTGGCAGCGCGCGTGATCCGCGGGAGGCAGTGGTGCGAGATGCGTCCCTGCGCGCTGGGTGAGCAGTGCGCGGTGCTCGCCAACCAGGCGGGCTGGACCTGCACCCAGCCGGGAGGCCGCACCAAGACCACCACGGTATAGCAGCCCACGCCGGTACAGCACCCACGCAGTGGTAACCCCACACACACAGCACTACACTCACACATCAGTACACTCACACACACAGCAGTACACTCACACACAGCAGTACACTCACGCAGCAGTACACTCACACACAGCAGTACACTCACACAGCAGTACACTCACACACACAGCAGTACACTCACACAGCAGTACACTCACACACAGCAGTACACTCACACACACAGCAGTACACTCACATAGCAGTACACTCACACACAGCACTACACTCACACAGCAGTACACTCACACACACAGCAGTACACTCACACAGCAGTACACTCACACAGCAGTACACTCACACATACAGCAGTACACTAACACACAGCACTACACTCACACAGCAGTACACTCACACACACAGCAGTACACTCACACACACAGCAGTACACTCACACACAGCACTACACTCACACAGCAGTACACTCACACACAGCAGTACACTCACACACAGCAGTACACTCACACACAGCAGTATACACACACAGCAGTACACACACACAGCAGTACACTCACAGCAGTACACACACACAGCAGTACACACACACAGCAGTACACACACACACAGCAGCACACACACAGCAGTACACACAGCAGTACACACACACACAGCAGTACACACACACACACAGCAGCACACACACAGCAGTGCACACACACAGCAGTACACACGCACATAAAGCAGTACACACACACACAGCAGTACACACACAGCAGTACACACACAGCAGTACACTCACACAGCAGTACACACACACAGCACTCACACACAGCAGTACACACACAGCAGTACACACACAGCAGTACACACACACAGCAGTACACACACACAGCAGTACACTCACACAGCAGTACACACACAGCACTCACACGCACAGCAGTACACACACACAGCAGTACACACACAGCAGTACACTCACACACACAGCAGTACACTCACACAGCAGTACACACACAGCAGTACACACACACGCACAACAGTACACACACAGCAGTACATACACAGCAGTACACACACAGCAGTACACACACACAGCAGTACACATACACAGCACTCACACACACAGCAGTACACACACACAGCAGTACACACACACAGCAGTACACACACACACAACAGTACACACACACAGCAGTACACACACATCAGTACACACACAGCAGTACACACACACACAGCAGTACACTCACACAGCAGTACACACACAGCACTCACACACACAGCACTCACACACACAGCAGTACACACACACAGCAGTACACACACAGCAGTACACACACACAGCAGTACACACACACAGCAGTACACACACACACAGCAGTACACACACAGCAGTACACACACACAGCAGTACACTCACACACAGCACTACACTCACACAGCAGTACACTCACACACACAGCAGTACACTCACACAGCAGTACACTCACACAGCAGTACACTCACACATACAGCAGTACACTAACACACAGCACTACACTCACACAGCAGTACACTCACACACAGCAGTACACTCACACACACAGCAGTACACTCACACACAGCACTACACTCACACAGCAGTACACTCACACACAGCAGTACACTCACACACAGCAGTACACACACACAGCAGTATACACACACAGCAGTACACACACACAGCAGTACACTCACAGCAGTACACACACACAGCAGTACACACACACAGCAGTACACACACACACACAGCAGCACACACACAGCAGTACACACAGCAGTACACACACACACAGCAGTACACACACACACACACAGCAGCACACACACAGCAGTGCACACACACAGCAGTACACACGCACATAAAGCAGTACACACACACACACACAGCAGTACACACACAGCAGTACACACACAGCAGTACACTCACACAGCAGTACACACACACAGCACTCACACACAGCAGTACACACACAGCAGTACACACACAGCAGTACACACACAGCAGTACACACACACAGCAGTACACACACACAGCAGTACACTCACACAGCAGTACACACACAGCACTCACACGCACAGCAGTACACACACACAGCAGTACACACACAGCAGTACACTCACACACACAGCAGTACACTCACACAGCAGTACACACACAGCAGTACACACACACGCACAGCAGTACACACACAGCAGTACATACACAGCAGTACACACACAGCAGTACACACACACAGCAGTACACTTACACAGCACTCACACACACAGCAGTACACACACACAGCAGTACACACACACAGCAGTACACACACACACAACAGTACACACACACAGCAGTACACACACATCAGTACACACACAGCAGTACACACACACAGCAGTACACTCACACAGCAGTACACACACAGCACTCACACACACAGCACTCACACACACAGCAGTACACACACACAGCAGTACACACACAGCAGTACACACACACAGCAGTACACACACACAGCAGTACACACACACACAGCAGTACACACACACAGCAGTACACACACAGCAGTACACACACACACACAGCAGTACACACACACACAGCAGTACACACACACAGCAGTACACACACACAGCAGTACACACACATACAGCAGTACACACACAGCAGTACACACACACAGCAGCACGTGTTGCAGGTGTCGCCTCCAGTGTCCCCCCCCCCAACCCCCGCCCCTCTCTCCCCCCTCCCCCACATCCCCCCCTACCCTGACAGGTGTCCTGACACTTCAACCACAAGCACTGCTGCCCAGGTGCACTACCACCTGCTGCCCAGGTGCACTACCACCTGCTGCCCAGGTGCACTACCACCTGCTGATACCCAGGTGCACTGCCACCTGCTGCCCAGGTGCACTGCCACCTGCTGCTGCCAAGGTGCACTACCGCCTGCTGCTGCCAAGGTGCACTACCGCCCGCTGTGCGCGTGTTAGCTGAGGCAGCTGATATCGCCGACTGCATCTCCAACGCTTCGCAGGCGCAGCGGCGCATCGCGGGACGACTCAACAGCGGCCTTCCGCTGTCGAGACGATTCTCCGTGACCCAGCGGTGAGAACTCAGGGGGCCCAGGATGGAGTCTCGTTCGCCGGAGTGACCCGGGGCACCCAATCTGGGCAGTCTGGGGCGCCCAGTCTGCGTCACCACAATGACAAAAAGCTAAACAAATCACGTGATGCAGTCACAGCTGCTGCAGAACTCACAGCGGCAGCGGCAGCAGCAGCTGGAGCAGACCAGGACCTTGTGTAGCTCAACTGCTACAGCTGCAACGGAACTCACCACAGCTGCAGCTGCTGCAGCCAAAGATGACACGGGCTCAGAATGGAACCGCAGCTCTCGTCGGACCCTCACGGCAGCCGCCCCGCGTCCCCACGTGGCGCCCGTGGACACGAACGAGGTGCGGTGGTCACCGGGCTCGTTGACGAGCTGGTCACGGGGGTCACGGAGGAGGTCGCGGGGGTCCCGGACTCCCACCCCCCACACTCCTGCTCCCCTACCCCTGGTGCTCGCGGAGTCAAATAAAGTCGCTCCTCTCCCTCTCCCGAGTCCCCGTGAGATTCACTCCCGGCAGCGAGGGGGTAGAGGGGGAGTGTTGCGTAAGACAGGGTGCACGTGGTCGTTCGTGATGGTGATGATAGGGTTGGTGGTGATTATAGTGTTGGTGTTGGCGATGATGGTGATTATAGTGGTGGTGGTGATGGTGTGGATCGGTAGTGTAGCGGTTAGCGCTACGCCGCCAACACCAATGACGATTATCTGAACCGGCCCTGGGCCTCACACGAATACCTGGTGTGGTGTGTAAAAATCGGCACTGGGGAGACAAAGGCGGCCGGGCGTGGTGCTGGCCACCCACCCCCTCGTGTGCCGTGTCGCTCTTCATAGGTGCTGCTCGATAACAGCATTTGCCCCAACAGTCTATTAAGGCTATAGGGGGATATTTGTCTTTGGTGGTGGTGGTGGTGGTGATGATGATGATGACCGTACTGATGAACCCTCCTGTGCCTAGGGGCAAGGGTAGCCCTCTCGCTACCCCCTAAGCCGGTCCCATAATCTCACCCCTGCCCCCTAACCCCGACCTTGCCACATTACCTCATCACGTGCTCCCCTCCGCCGCCACCCTCCCCCTCAATGCCCCCAGCGGGGGGGGGGGGCACCACGTCGCGCGCCCTTAATTCATTAATTAAGCGGTCACGTGACGCACGACTCGCTAACAGCATCTGCAACATTTCAATTATCGCGTATTCTCACGGGGCGGGGCCCTGTACCCACGACCCCCCCTCCCCTCCTCCATCTCCTCTCCCTCGCTGCTCGATCGCGCGCTCTCTCCATCTTCCTCGCTCCCTCTCCGTTCTCCAATCTCTCGTGGCCTCTGTCTCCCATCTCCCTACGAACTTGCATCTTCACTATCTCCACTCTGCTCCCACCTCCCACGCCCCCCCCCAACTCCCACCGCCTCCCCACCCTTCCTTACCCAAATCTTCTCGACCCCCCACCCTGGACTCCCCGCTCCCCCAAACATCTCCGCGCCCCCCTCCCTCCACCTCCCTCCCTCCCTCCACCTCCCTCCCTCCCCTCCCCTCCCTCCACCTACCTCCACCTCCCTCCCTCCCCTCCCCTCCCTCCACCTCCCTCCACCTCTCTCCCTCCACCTCCCTCCCCTCCCCTCCCTCCACCTCCCTCCACCTCTCTCCCTCCACCTCCCTCCCCTCCCTCCACCTCCCTCCCCTCCCCTCCCTCCACCTCCCTCACTCCCCTCCCTCCACCTCCCTCCACCTCTCTCCCTCCACCTCCCTCCACCTCTCTCCCTCCACCTCCCTCCCCTCCCCTCCCTCCACCTCCCTCACTCCCCTCCCTCCACCTCCCTCCACCTCCCTCCACCTCCCTCCCTCCCTCCACCTCCCTCCACCTCTCTCCCTCCACCTCCCTCCCCTCCCCTCCCTCCACCTCCCTCCACCTCTCTCCCTCCACCTCCCTCCCTCCCTCCACCTCCCTCCCTCCACCTCCCTCACTCCCTCCACCTCCACCTCCCTTCACCTCTCTCCCTCCACCTCCCTCCACCTCTCTCCCTCCACCTCCCTCCCCTCCCTCCACCTCCCTCCCCTCCCCTCCCTCCACCTCCCTCACTCCCCTCCCTCCACCTCCCTCCACCTCCCTCCCTCCCTCCCTCCACCTCCCTCCCTCCACCTCCCTCACTCCCTCCACCTCCACCTCCCTTCACCTCCCTCCCTCCCTCCACCTCCCTCCCTCCCTCCACCTCCCTCCCCTCCACCTCCACCTCCCTTCACCTCCCTCCATCTCCGTCCTCTGTGAAGACGCGGGCCGTCCAATTATGGTGGCATCGCGGTAATTGGTGGTGTTGGTGCGCGGGACGGCTGTGGCCGGCTCGTTAGGGCGAGAGCGGCGAGGAGCGAGCTGGTGGTGAGGAGCGGGTGGTGAGGAGCGGGTGGTGAGGAGCGGGTGGTGAGGAAGCGGTGGGAGGGCCATGGGGAGAGGGGCGGACGGGGGGGAGAAGGGGAAGGGGGAGATGGGTGGGGGGGGGGATCGATCAGCCCCCTTCTCGTGACTCACAGACAGTGCCCACAAGCGAAAACAACACAAAGGTCCCCGTGTGGCCTCTAACAGACTGTTGGGGCAAGTGCTGTTGCGCGTAGCAGCTATGAGGGCCGGTGCACCTCTGAGGAGGGGGGGAGGGATGGCCAGAAACCACGCCTGCCCGGCCGCCTTTGTCTCCCCCGTGCTGATGTTTTATGCGCACCGCGTCAGGCGCTTATGGTTAAGAGGGCGAGTCGACCTAGGGGAGGGCCCAGGATAGACGCACACGTAGTGGGGGAGATGGAGGCGAGAGGAGGGGAGAGAGGGGAGTGGGAGAGAGAGGGGACAACGGAGGAGATGGAGAGGGGAGAGACAGTAATTAAGGCGTCATGAAGCTTGAGGCGTTCATCTTGGCGCATCCGATTCATCACGCGGAATTGGTGTGGGGGGGGGGGGGTGTTTAATACGGGGAGGGGAGAGGGAGAGGGGTGGGAGAGGGGGAGAGGGAGGAGAGAGAGGGGGCGAAGGAGACGGGAGAGGGGGGAGGGAGAGGGGGAGCGAGGGAGGGAGGGAGGGAGGGAGAGGGGGGAGGGAGGAGGGAGGGAGGGAGAGGGTGGAGGGAGGGAGGGAGTGGGAGGGAGGGAGATCTTTGGTGAAATCTTTCATTTAAACAGGGGGGGAGGGGGCACATAAAGCAAAGCATTGAAAAACAAAAAAAAACCGAAATGATGAACGAAGCGAAGTGCCGACTACACCGAGCATCTTCTTGATTCCTCTGATTGTAAAAAAAGAGAGAGAAGAGAGAGGGGGAGGCAGAGGGAGGAGGGAGAGGGGGGGGGGAGATTGTTCACATAATTGGTGAGATGCGTTGCTCGACTTCACGTCGACTGCTCTTGTCGCTAGTCCGCATGTCCACTTGACACTCAACCGACTCTTCAGAGTCGTCTTTTATTCCAGGAGGGTCCTGCCGAGTTGTCGGTGTCGTAGATGCTGCTGCTGCTGCTCCTGCTGTGCGATCCCCGATGGAGTGATGTGCGGGTCATTGTTTTTCAGCATTGGGATGATTGTCCAATGCCAATGATTGGCCAATGCTGTGCGTGTGTTTAGCGATGGCAGGAAACCGGAGAACTCGGAGGAATCCCATTGCAGGGCAGAGGGAGAGAATAGAAACGCCACACGGAGAGGCGTCAGTGTCAGGAATCGAACTCAGGCGATTATTGCTGACGCGCGAGTGTTGCTACTGCGCTAAGACCCTGCCGGCCACACCTGCACCACGCCTGCACCACGCTTGTACCCAAACATGAACCACACCTGTACCACACCTGCGCCGCAACTGCATTGTAACTCAATGTGTAACACACATCCCTATAGTGTCAATTTACTGCTGGATGAAAGCCTCCCCACGACGTGTGGGTAATGAGAGGTTGCTTCACCACACTTCGCCACCCTGATCAGCGCGGGTTGTTGAACAGAGTCCTCGGGACGGGTTCAGATTGAACTCGCTACTGATGTTAGCCGTGGCCGGTTAATGAAATGCAGGTCACCGGGGTTGATAGCGCAGTGTGCGAACCACTGCGTCACCACTCTCCAAACACCCTGAGTCTTCTACCTTGATCACCCCTGAACGGTGTGTTACCCCCCCCCGCCCCGCCCCCACGGGTAGTTATTTGGGTGTAGGAACGGAACGGAACCGATTCCGAACTTTACGCGCTCGGCTGTTGCTCGTCGGAAGAGGCCGGGGTGCTAGTGGCGAACCCGTGGGACTGGGGGTCTCGACCTGGGCTGACCCCCTCCCCCCCCCCCTTTTTTCTGCCCCTCTATTCCCCCGGCCTCCCCCTTCACTTCCTCTCTCTCCTTAAACCACCCCCCCCCCCCACCCTATTTATCTCTGCGCCATGGAAGGAGGTGGCTTCATTAACCAGCGTGCGGGCACTGAGGGTGCGGGGGGGGGGGGCGAGTTGTAGAGCGAGATGGGAGCGAGAGAGGGGTGAAGGTAGATTCACAGAGGATGCGAGTGGGAGAGGGGGGGGGGTGACATGCAAAGGGATAGGGGAGGGAGCGAGTCATAGGTAGCAGGCGGGATAGAGGGATGTAGAGGAGAGTGGGTGAGTGAGGGAGGGCGAGAGAGAAGGGGGGGGGGGGGGGGAGAGGCAGGGGGAGATAGGGAGGGCGAGGGAGAGAGGGAAGGAGTGAGCTTTTGCGGTGAGGGAGGCGGGAGGGCGTGAGCTATGTAGAGGAAGAGGAATTGGAGAGTGTGGAGGGAGGGAATGCGATCTTTAGAGGGAAGCAGGAGGGGAGAGTACGATTTGTAGAGGGAGAGGGGAGGGAGCGCCGTGCTGACGTGATGCACGGCGCGGGATTATCCTGGGGGGCCCTTTATTCAGATTGATTCGTCTGTCGGCCCAGGCACTCAGGAGCTTTTAATCCATCATCTCTCTAAGCGGGACGCAGCGGCCTCTCCCCCCTGTCCCCCCCCCCAAACGTCAGCGACCCCCTCGGTGGCGACAGGGGTCGCGACGACACCGCGCGGGGAACGAGGGAGAGGGGGGAGGTAGGAGAGGGAGGGAGAGGGCCCAGGGGAAGACGGAAGGACGGAGGGGGGAGAGGGCCCAGGGGAAGACGGAAGGAGGGGGGGGGAGACGGAAGGACGGAGGGGGGTTAGGGCCCAGGGCAAGACGGGAGGGGGGGGGGGGGTTAGGGCCCAGGGGAAGACGGGAGGGGGGGGGGGGGGTTAGGGCCCAGGGGAAGACGGGAGGGGGGGTGGGTTTAGCGTCCAGGGGAAGACGTGAGGGGGGTGGGGTTAGGGCCCAGGGGAAGACGGGAGGGGGGTTAGGGCCCAGGGGAAGACGGGAGGGGGGGTGGGTTTAGCGTCCAGGGGAAGACGTGAGGGGGGTGGGGTTAGGGCCCAGGGGAAGACGGGAGGGGGGTTAGGGCCCAGGGGAAGACGGGAGGGGGGTTAGGGCCCAGGGGAAGACGGGTACCGACACGTGAGCTCCTGCACGGTTGC